AGCATGGAACATGTACATCACTCATACAGTCATGCTGATGTGAAGCCTATCAATAATTATTACATTTCCAATTTAGATGAATTGATATGGTGCCATTTGTAACGTGTATACTTTCTTTAGGGTAACATACATATACATATGGTTTTTTTCTTCATAAAGGGCATTTTTATTAATACAATATGTAGCATCAAGCAGATACAACAAATGAGCAACACCCGGCCTCTGCATAGCTAAGATGCATACAACCACACTCCAACACTATGCCTATGTCAAACTCGCAGGGGGCAGTGGACCGATCCAAAGATTATGCTGCTACCCATGTTGGGTAAAACCCTTCCTGGCCACCCGCTCAAACCGCATATATGTATGATATACAAGAGCCAAATTAGAGTACACATACATACTACATACAGAGTCGATGAACTTAATCAATAGATAATATGCGAGAGGCATGGCTGAGGAAGTGTCACGATAATACGTCAGACTTTTGCTAAATGCTGATTGCATAACGCTTGCGTCTTCGCCGCTTACATGTACATATAGATAATAGACATGTATAGCACGAAGCTAGAAAAAAAAATCCTACCATGTCAGCTATGTAGCAACGGTGTCATCTATGCAATTAAGCAGTCATTAGTATAGAATTCGTTAAGAAATCTCTACTACCTAAAAGAAGCGTAGTGTTCCATTTCCCCTCTTACGTTTCCCCTCTTCGTCCAACCCCTTCGTACGACCCCTCCTCCTCCCCTCCAGCGATTTTCTTTTCTCCCTCCACCGATTTTCTCCCCACCGGTTTTCTCCTTGCTGATTCTCTTTTCTCCCTCCAATCGGACTCTATCTTTGGTAAACAAATAATTCACATAAGGTAACCAAGCGCAATCAACCCAAATGCAATCAATTCATGCATGGCAATCAATCCAAACACAATTAATTAATGTATGGTATTGAATTTGCTACTATATTTGGTAATGCATAATGTAATCAATTAGCGCATGGTATTCAGTCTCTATTTGGTAACGCAATAAACTCACCAGCAGCAAAAAGTCATGGACGCAATAAACACAAATAGGCAATCAATTCATGCATGATCACAGAAAAAATCGTGACTCAACCCCGTGAGCCTCCTATCAGATTTGATTCTATTTTTTATGCCGCCCGTCTTTCCCTCTACCTATCTCTCCCGTCTCACCCGCGACGTCTTGTCTCTCGACCAAACCCTATTCCCTCCCTCTTATCGTTTCTTCTCTTGTGGCAGAATGCATCTTTCCCTGTACCTGTCAGCAGTGGTCCTAAGTGGCATCGAAGCAGAGTGATGCCTTCGTTTCCAGCGTGAGAATCTTATCTTCTGTGCATGTACCTCTCCTCCTTTGGTGTCTAGGGCTTGAAGATTTTTGGGATGCTATCCTTACCACTCTGGAAGTTACGTCGCCACTAGCATCTTCTTGCCATCGTGGGTCATTGGACCTTTTTGTGCCAACGTGTTCTTCCTTGGAGCACCTCCCGTAATTTAGATCATAACTTTTGAATAATAATATGATTAGTTAAGCGACGCTCTAAACTGTTTTGCCCCCACACCCGGTTATTACGTGTGCATGTTTATCTTTTTGAGATTGCGACCCATTAGTTGATTCTTCCTTTTCCGTTCTTCAAATAGCATGTTTTTTTAATTGAGAGGACATTTTATGATGGATAAGTTTATCTCAACCTGCACTACTTAGGTCTTGTATTCGATGCATCCATCTATGCCGTGTCTATACCTTGTGCGATCTCCGTGATGATAACTCAATGCCATGTTGCCATTGTGTCAGAGATATAGAGAGAGAGTGGACGAAGGGTCTAGGGAGAGAGAGTATACATGGGTGTAACTAAGAGAGAGAGAGATATATTCATGGGAGACAAATATTTTCACGAGAGTAAATGAAAGAGAGAAAGAGGGAGAGAGAGATTTACACCGCTGTAACTAAGAGAGAGAGATTCATGGG